AAATAAGCGAAATGAATTAATATCTAAATGTCGCCACGAAAACAAATTTGTTATCTGCAACTTTAACGTCATCTAAGCTAACACTGTATTGTATTTTTGTATATAATTTTTGTTGTTGTTATGGTTGTTTGTAACGTCTGATGATCGCATATAGTGTGAAACTCTGAGTTATGTTACAAATTTAATTGTATTTTATTATTATTTTAATATATATATATATATATATATATATATATATATATATATATATATATATATATATATATATATAGAGGCTTGGTCGGGAAGTAGTTTAAAAAGTTTAACACATTTAGAACAATTCTCCTTATTAAGATGAACAAATGAAATAATTAAATGATTGAGTTACTGTAGAAATTCAATTAGCTAGATAGAAATTAACAAAAAACGTTAAATTACTTTGATGTGTAGTGAGTGGGCTTCATAATTTTAATTAGTATTTAAAACAGAAAAAAGTAACTTTAAGTATAACCAGTTTGTAAGAATGGCTGAAGCAAAAATAATTGAAGTTAGTAAACCAATTTCTAAGAACTTAAAAACTTTTCTTTCTTGGGAGAAAGAATCAGTTATCGGGTACACTGAGGAAAATGGATTAGTGGTTAAAATTATTTGTATTAACTTTGACGATTATTAATAATTTCATTGAAAACGCAGTTATTATTGAAAGTATTTTGTTTACAAAATCAATCGCACTAATTGCTTTAAAAGATTACATTTAAATAAAATATACATAGATAAAATTACAAAGATAAAAGTACATTACATACATAAAAATACATCCCTTATATATAAAAAATAAGAATATACTAATAAAATCTAAAATATATTTACAAAACGTTGACAAGTTAAAAAATATAAATTTTAAACATTTATTATTGTAAACAAATAATTTTAGTTTAAAACATTTATAGCTTTGCAGATGTGGCTCCAAGAATTAAAATAATAGTTCGTTTGATAGTATAGTCTTAAAATAATTTATGCTAGAAATTTCAACAAAAACAAAATTCAAATAATACTGTTTTTTAAAATATTTCAACAGATTACTCAGGACATTTGGATAGTTTTTTTTGAATACTCTAGAAATTTCGGTTAGTATTTTTTGAACCAATAGAATTAGTTGTTCGTAGATTTGGCGGGTTTTTTGTGTTTGCGAATATTCTTTTTTTATTTTTCCGCACTTAGATGTTTGAGAACATTCAAGTTTATGTATGTGTCCATGTAAGTCCGTAAAACAAAATATTTTAAAATTTACGACAAAATGAACTTATTATTTTGCGTACAAACAAGGAATCTGGCTGGTTTCTCGCAACTAAATATTATTTCCGTGGTCAGTTATCGAGTAGGATTGCACCCGCTTCCCGACCAAGCCTGTATATATATATATATATGTGTATATATATATATAAATATATATATACATATATATTCACACATATATATATATATATATATATATACATATATGTATATATTTATAAATAAATGTATGTATATATATATATATATATATATATATATAAACACATATATACATATATGTATATATTTATAAATAAATGTATGTATATATATATATATATATATATATATATATATATATATATATATATATATATATATATATATATATATATATATATATATATATATATATATATATATATATATAATATTGTACTATAAAAAAAATTGAGGAGGTGAATTAAATTAAAAAAAAAAAAAAAAATAATGCTATTATTATAATTTTATTATTATGATTTTTGACTTTTTTTATTTATTGTTATTATTATAACTATATTTTGCATTAGTTTTGTTATCTTATTATATTTTTATAATTATAATTTTTTATTATAATTTTTATTTTTTTTAAATACTATCATTATCTGCATTTTTTTGTTTGTTTAATATTTCTTTTTTTTTCTTATTATTCATTGTAATTTATAATTTTTACATGTTTATTTTATTTCATGTATGTTCTATGTTTATGTGCTTATTATTATTCATATTATATTTCAAAATTGCTTGTTTCATCAGACTGTATAAATGACATTTCATTGTTATAAATCATTATCTTATTATAAATAATATAATGCGGTAATGGTGTAGTGGTAGAGCGCTCGCTTCATAAAGGAGTGGTTCCGAGTTCGATTCCCACCACGTCCCTGATAGTACCATGCTCAACTCATTTCTCCGCGCAGTGGCCTTGTTCATCAAGGTTCGTGTTTCGGAGTTATAGAGTTGAGAGAGGGTTATAACCACAAATAAGTAGCCTCCTTGTCTGTAGTGGCCTTCTCGGCCTTGAGTAGGTGAATTAAATTAAAAAAAAATAAATAAAATAATGCTATTATTATAATTTTATTATTATGATTTTTGACTTTTTTTATTTGTTGTTATTATTATAACTATATTTTGCATTAGTTTTGTCATCTTATTATATTTTTATAATTATAATTTTTTATTATAATTTTTATTTTTTTTATTACTTATATTATTACTATTATTATTATTATTATTATTATTATTATTATTATTATTATTATTATTATTATTATATTACTATTTTAAAAATGATTATTAATGGAAAATAAATAGCCTGTTGTTGTTATTGGTAAACTAACATACTGGTTGTTAGGGGACCATGCAGACTTTAACCCTCCCCCTCTCTCCATCTATCCCCAGCTTAAAGAATTTTTTTTTAATAATGTCTTGAATAGTTGTGTGTATGAAAAAGTTAGATAGTTGCCTTCCAAACATTCTTAACTTTGATTCAAAGTTTGGTTCTACAGTTTGCAATTTTAAAATATTTTCATTGGCTGATACCAAATTATTCATTTTTAGAATTTGACCAGTGGTTAGCTGAACTAGAATATAATCTTGGTTTCTATTGGTTCTTTGAAAAGATATCAAGCACTTTTCCTTAACCTCCCTTCAATTTATCTAACTTTAAAATTAAAACCAATATTAATATTACGTAGCTTTTTTTTGAAAGCTATTAAATTGCATAATTAATTTCTTAAAGATTTTATCTTATTTAAATTTTAACTGGAGAGAGTTTCAGTGGATGATCTCCATAAGACAGAGGTATCTGCAAGATTTCATGTGGCAATGCTTTCATAAAGATGATATTTGGTACAATATGATCTCTTGAAAAGATAATTTTTACAGCAAGCTGTAAAAGATAGTAATTCAACAGTTGAGCTGCTCAAGATTGCTTACAAAAGAGTTGTTAAGTATATAAGCACTTATGAAAATGGTACTTATCAAGAATGCTCAGGCAATTGGTAATAAGGCTCAATCAAACTCAGGCACGAAACAATGAGTTATGTTGATTTAACTTTCAATTTTGTGCACATGTCCAGTAATATTTTTCTATTCAGTTCAAGGCACCCAATTAGACAGAATTGGGATATAATTCTTCGGAATATATAACTTTGGAAATCAAGGGCCCTGTCTTCCCTATTTGACCTCTCTGGTATCAATATTTAAAATTTTATCTTGTAGATACTGATCTATTATATGTATAAAAATAGTCTGATTTAATTTTTCACACTTTTTACTCTAGAGATATTTTTTTTTATCCCATATACATGTGGGATGTATCCCATAGAGGTGGGAGAGGTAGGTGGTAGAGGATGGTGGGATGTATCCCATACAGTTGGCATTCTCAGTACAGAACCATAGAGTTTTGACCGGTTTTTAGTAACTGTACAGGAATTTGATATTAACTCTATAAATTAATTGTTGTCATATGATCATCTATGATTGGTAAATAAAATGAAATTTAATTATCTTTCAATCATGTATAAGAGGAAGTTGTATAATCATTCAAATAAATGAAGCATATAAGTATAAATTAATAGTTGGTCTTCATATCCATACTTTACAATGATGCAGGCTTGTTATTGTTTTTTGGAAGTGATTTTATTAGAAAATGTAAAGTATATTGTAAGGGTGAATTGTAAAAATACCCATAAATTGAATATTATAAAAATTAAAAAAAAATTAGCTTAAGTGACATCACTATTTTAACAGTTAAATTTAAAATACAGCCCAAATTCAGTTTATATATAGTTTTTGAGCTCTAAAGAAGTTTTTTAATTTGAATCCTCTATGTAAAAGATTGTCTATGTACCGAGTTTTATGTTGATACTTTATACTCTTCATTAAGTTGGTAGAAAAAAATACTGATTTTAAAGTTAAATGCCAAAATTTAGTTTTAGGACTCATTCTTTTTTCCAAATTTTATCCTTTTTCATTTGATATAACAATATTGTATTGTTTAAGTACATACAACATTTTTAAAAATGGATTTTTCAAGAGTTAATAATAATTGTAAACCTTAGCAATGCCTTAGCTATAGAACAAAAAGCCCTAAAAGCTATGCTTAAGCTATGCTAGGCATCTTTTTTATATTTGTCAAGTGTTGAGTTATATTTAAATGAATCAATCGTATGTTTCTGGTGGACATAAAACAAGTTTTTACTTGAAAAAAAAATTTAATGTTTTTACAGCTTTTGATTTTTGTAATACTAGATTTTGTAATACTTGTAACATTAAAACATATTTTTGTATTGGCTAAGGATTTTTGCCTAATATTTTTAAGGTATACTCAGTTTACATTAATATACTTATATTTATATGTATAATATATTTACTTATATTTATATGTATTAATATACTTATATTTATATTTATATAAATATATTATATGATGCACTTATATTTATACTCAGTATACATATAAAATTGGATGGGATTTTAAAAATTCCTGTTCAATATTTTTATTGAAAAAGCATGTTTTTTTATATTTTAAAGAAACACGTCATTTCAAAGTTTATACGTTTCAATTCCAAAGTTCATACGTTTTATCGTTTAATTATTATTTAAAATTTATACAATAGCAAAACTACTTTATTGTAATTATTTTTTAATTTTGGTTTTCTTATTTTATATAGCAAAATAATATTTCTTTTTCTTTTTAGTATCACCATTGCCAACAAATAAACCTACTGTAACAAGTAAGTATAATTTTTAAATTGTAAAAATAAATATATATATCATAATGCCAAAAGTTTGCATAATCTTAAAAGCTTAAATTGGTGTGCTCAGGAAAAAAAAGGTTTTTGAACTAAACTAGAAAAACTAAAAAACAGTGGCTTTCTTAATAATTCAATTAAAAATTCAGAAAACTTATTTTCACCTTTAGATAGCTTCCAGCTAAACTTTTATTTTTACTTAGTTGTTTATTTTTTATTTGAACAACTTTTTTTTTAAACATCTTCACTTCAAAACAAGGCTGTAAGCTACCACTATTAGAGTTACTAAAAGAAAAAATATTAAGTTTATAAAGCAAGATAGCGATTAGCGACTACTTGAAAGATTGCAAGTTATACTAATCAGGAAAACAAGATAGAGGGAGCGAATTCTAAAGATCTGATGTTCCAGAAAAAAAAACAAAAAAGACAAAATAAAAATTTTTGGAATAAGAGTTTTTGGAGCACTTAGGAACAGTCACAGTCAAAGGATGTTAATTGAATGACACATAACACAAGAATGAATTTTAGTAGATTGCACAAAAAGTGCTCTTTAGAGCAACCATTATAGAGTTTACAGAAAAGAGAAAGAGAAGCTATGACAATATGACAATTGTTGAAAGTTTGCTGTAAACTATGTTTACAATGCGTTTTGCACCTTGTCTAAAAGAAAAAGGGCATCATTTGAAGATCTGCTTTAGATATGGCAACAGTATTCCATACAAGGATGGGTTTGAGATTTATAAAGATAAAGAATTGAATCCGGAGTAAGAAAGTGGGGAGCTCAATAAAGAGATGCAACATTAGCAAATGCTAATTTTGCAATGGATTTGGTATATTGTTTTTAAAAAAGATTGGGGGTAAGAGTTAATCCTAGAAGACAAAGGGTTGATGACTAATCAAGTACATTAACATTTATAAATATAAGAAGATCTATATTGTTGCAATAAAAATTAACTAAAAATAATTTTTATCTGAGTTAAAGTTCACCAACCACTGAGAGCCCCGCCACAGATGTGAGAACTTCTACAAGAAGTGTTTTCTGAAGATGTTTCTAGAAACTTGATTGATACAAATGTCAAACAATGCATCAATCTGTTTGTCGGCTATATCAGATAGAATGTGATTAGTGGAATCAAGAAATAAGATTGATAAAAAGTTCTAAGCAAATAATTCAGCTTGGTCTTTAGATAAGATGACAAAATCTAAACCATACAAGAGAGGCAGAATAACAGAATTGTCTTATTAAAAACACTGCTAAAAATTCTCCAGAAGTCTCTAGAGCTTAATTTTTGAGATGAATTATGAGATTTTATGACCTGAAAACAGCACGCGTTACACAAAACCCCCATGCCAAGCATGTGACTATTGGAGTCTTTACGAATTAAAGGAAGATAACCATCAACACTAAGATCACTAGATTAGTCTCACAAAGAACAAAGAGGTCTAGTGAACTTTGCAAGAAATAAGACTCAACAGAATAAAAGATACTTGAAGACCATGAATACTAGTGAATGATAGATTTATAGAACTTGGTGATAATGATTTTTTGTGTTTTATAGTTTTTAGTCACTTTTAGATTAGTCAAAAAAACTCAAAGCACAGATATTACTCACTATACTATTTAATAGTCCAAACATTTGCCTTATTACTACACTCAGCAAAATTTCCATAGTTCCACTTTCAGTTAGTACATATAAATAAATCCGCCCTTAAAGTAATTTTTGTTGTAATTTTTATCTAAGTTTATAAAATTGTTCACTGCATGATGAGACCTTTTGATTTTATTTGCAAGTTGTTGATTGGACAAACCCATATCGTTGTAAGCAACAATTTTTGCTTTTTCTTTTTCTGTAATTAAACAAATCTTAATTAAAAATACACAAAACTTTCATATAAAACAAACCAATTAAAAAATCTTACTCAAACTTCAATTAACTTTTATTAAGTGTTCAAAACAAACTAAGTTTCAATTGTTTTAGAAACACATAAAATTGTCATAAATGCGTTTGTCTGCAATAGGTCTACTTAGGAAAATTTAATATAAATTGGAAATTACAGCAGCAAATTGAGAGGAAAGCCATGGAGAAGAGTGAGGTTTGACTTTTTTTGATTTATCAGGAGGTTGTAAAAGATTCCATGCCAACCTGAATCTAAGAAGTTACATAAGAAGCACGTTTGTCAGCAGAAAGAAAAAAAAGCTCTTTATAACTTAATAATAAAAATGTCCGAGCCAAACACAAACCACAACTTATCAAAATACAGGAAAATGAAAAGGTCAGTAAATTTACAAACTCTTTTTTTCAATAAAACCCCTACAAACAACTACTTCAGTCAAATTTTGCCTGTATATATACCAATTTTAAAAATATTCTAGAAAATTTAGTTTCAATTGTTTTAAAAACACATAAAATTGTCATAAATGCATTTGTTTGCAATAGGTCTAATAATGAAAATTTAATATAAATGCATTCCGCATAAAATATGCAATAACTACATGGAATCATAGAAGTTTCGCTGAGTGTGTTAATAAACCATGAGCTGTAACAAAGAGCTCCATATGTGGCCTTGACAATGCACACCAAATTTAAAAACCTTTTATGCGCAACTGTTAATACTGTTAGTACTCTGATTTTTTGCAGCTGTTGATGGATTCTTTCCTTTCTGAGAGCTACCACAGAGTTTGAGAAACCTGACTACCAGCCGGCCTCAGAACCATAAAACTGAGTTTTAGAGCTATACCCTCATTAGGTGATGATAGAATGAGTTGCCTAGTCGTAAAAACAGAGACACCAGCAAAACCTATGCAATGATTCAAGAAGATCTACCATTCAACATCCTAAACTGGAAACAATGCATTTGAAATACATCTGCACCAAGAGAAAGAGAGAAATACATCTTCACCAAGATAAAGAAGGGGTATGAGGCTGGTATCTGTTTACTGTTTACTCCTGTTACCTGCCTGTTTATTTGCTTAATCGGAGCAAAATCCCTTTGAGACTATTAAAAGAGTTTTGAAAATTGAAACTTACAAGTTTTCTTAATTTCCATTTTTTTCATAAAAATAAGAGAATTTATTTTGGTTAAATGTGAGAAATTTATTTTGAGGTTTTTAGAATAAATATATTCATTTTTCGTTTGCTTTATTATACTTTTGATTTTTCTAAAAATAGAATTTAATATTTAAATTTAATGTTTAAATTAAATAGTTGTAATTTAATAACAGTTAAAATTTCAATCTACAAGTAGAGTTTTGATTTTGAAAAACTAAAAATCATTTAAAGTTAATTTAAAAAATTGAATAAATAGAAACTTTTTTCAATAAAAAAAAAATGAAAAAAGTCGTTTTTTTAAAGCTTATTTACACTACCTGTCAGTATTGTATACCAAAAAAACACATCATTTCAAAATTTATGCAATAACGAAAACTACTTTACTGTAATTATTTATAAATTATATTTTTATAAATTTTCTTATTTTATATAGCAAAAACATTTCTTTTTCTTTTTAGTATCATCATTGCCAACAAATAGCCCTACTGTCATAAGTAAATATACTTTTTAAATTGTAAAAATAAATATATATTATATTGCCAAATGTTTGTATAATCTGAAAAGTTTAAAATGGTGTCCTCATGAAAAAGTTTTTTGAACTAAACTTAAAATACTAAAAAACAGTGGCTTTCTTTAAAATTCAATAAAAAATTCAGAAAACTTTTTTTCACCCTTACAAGCTTGTATTTTAAACTTTTTTTGTTTGTTATTTTTTAGTTGAAAAAAAATAATAATTTTTTTATTTTTTTTAATTGAACAAAATCCGTTATTTATATTATGCTATTAATTTGCTGGAGTAAATTCTGATATTTATCTTGCAACTATAAGTACTTTAAATATGATATCAATCTAAACAAAATCCAAGAAATACACGATTCCAAAATTTATACAATAGCGAAGCTACTTTGTTGTGATTATTTTTAAATTTTAGTTTTTTTATTTTGTATAGGAAAAATATGTTTGTTTTTTTATTTTTAGCACCACCATTGCCAACAAATAGCACTACTGTTTCAAGTAAGTATACTATTTAAATTGTAAATATAATTATATATCATAATGCCAAAATTTTACATTGGTGACTTCATGAAAATGTTTTTTAAACACAGTTAAATTTTTACAAAAGATGCGTCTGTTAGAAAAAAAATGGTGATTTTGTAAATTACAAAATAAAATTTACTAAATTAAAAATAAAAATAAAAATGGCAATACTTTGAAATCTATTGTTTATCTCTTCAGTAGAGATATATTAACATGGAAGCACAGAGAGAGTTATATTTTAGAGTTTTGCAGAATAATTACATTGATAAATATATTTCTTCTGAAAATAAATATATATTGTTAAATATATTTTTTCAAAAAATAAATATATTTACTCTAAAAATAAATATATTAGTTAACATAAATGTTCTGAAAATAAATATATTGTATAAATATTTTGTTTCAAAAATATAATTAACTTTGGATAACAGTAAAAGTTGTACTTTAGTTGCAGATTTAAATGTACCATAACAGCTGCCATTTAGCAGTATTAAAATTCTTTAAAAGATTTTTCAAAAAAATTTTCTAATTTCATTTTAAAAGTTTCTTTGAAGTAGCTTTTACTTTATTTTACAAGGTAATTAAATAATTATACATAACACGCAAAACATCTATTAATGTTTAGTTTGAAAGGATCTTTATTTTTTTGTAACACAAGTTCATCATTTTAGCATTTTGTTAGCATATATATATTTTTTTTTTCAAAAGATATCAAGCTATTCATTGTGGTGAGCATTAAAATCACAAATAAAAATAATATAAGCTGATGACTGATGGGTAAAATGATCAAAAACATCAAAAAGACTCTTATAAAGAGCGAGAACAATAACGAACAAAACAATAAGGAACAAAGAAAATTTTTTTTTACAAAAAATACATCAAAGTATAGTAAGAGGATTCAAACCTGAGAACATTTTCACAAAAAATATAGGTAAATTGAAATTTAAGTAAAAATTCCATGTTAAAATATGTGACTAATAAAGTCTTTGCAAATCAGTGTATATTATCATCAACACTGAGTTCAGAGATGAGGTTCAGAGATTAATGCATTATAAAATTGGGTTGGTTGTTGGGTAGGGCATAAGCGGCAATGAAATTTATCTGTTATTAGTTATTAAACCTAGTCCTCTTACAAATAACCACTAATCTTATTATTGCCATTGCCTGGACATTAAATACATAAAAGTTAAACTAAATTGTAATAATTACTTCAAAAGAACTTTGAAACTTTCTATGTTTTGCTATTTTACATTCCTTTATAACTAAATTTAAATGTTTAATTTAAATTTTTATCAAATAAAGTTTTTTATAAATTAATTTGTTTCTTTAGTAACTTCACTAATGTCTTTTTCATGACCTAATATTTTTTTATATATTTATTGATCTTTTTAATTTATTCTTGTTCTTGTTATTACATTTTAAATAAATGTAATATTTTCAAAGTATGTTTACAATAATTACAATGAAAAAATAATAATAATAACTAATATTATAATGGTAGTTATAAGCATAAAATTATTTATAATAATAAGTTAATGATTTATTAGGATGGTGTCACTCATGGACCATTGCCTTAGAATCAGAAGTCAGTTATAAATCCATAAATAAATATAAAGGTGTTAAACTTGTAATGGTTTTCTGGAGTATGACTGGGCTGAGTTAGCATTAGTTAAGAGATAGATCTTTTATGTTGTTCACTAACAACACAAAACTTTATCAAACAACACAAATATACACATACAACTAGTAAGTGACCAGGGCTCTGACTCCGGCCCCAGCTATATCTAAAAATGAGACTTTTTGCTAATCCAGCCCCGGCAAAATTATGAAATTTAGCAGAGGTTGATAGACTGGAAAAAGTGCAAAGGGAGAAATGCAGTTAAAGGATGCAACTTGTTGAATAAGAAGCCAAACAAGAATGAGTTTTGGTTGATCAAAAGAGAGATGGTAGCTCATTTGAGCATTGACCATGGTAGTATTTGTTGAAAAAAGAAATAAATGCAACCTTATGATAATGGGAGAGTACCTCAGGGCAGATAAACAGCTCTAATTACATTTACATTGTGCTTTTAGACTTCTGAGAGTAAGAGGGTTGTTATTCTTTAATATAAGAAAGCTAATAATATAGCAATTTTTTTTTTGCAGTAATTAATTGAGTTTTGCTGTCTGTTGTGTGTCATTAATAATTAGCGTGCTAATTATTGACAAAAGTCACAAGTTGTGATTTTCTATTATTATAACGTTTTTTTATTAATTGTCGACAAGAGTCACAAGTTGTATTATATGCTATATAAAGCGAACAATTTTTTTTGTAAACAAAAAACTTTGTATATAAGTAAAAGAAAACGTCAACAACAAAAAAATGGCTTTTAAATGTGTCGAACAACAAGCTAACCGGGCATGTCTATTATCTCCGCAATATGAAGATGGACAGCCAAAGCGATTTATTCGACAGATGACTTCCTTCTTTGCAATAAACAATGTGATGTTGTGGGATAAAGGAAATCTTGCTGTCAGCAAAGTATGGGAAAGAGTAGCCTGCAATGTTACTCATGTTGATTCATCGCTATATCTCACTTGTATTGATTGCGGCCCAAGCAGATATACGTTATGGACACCATTAAGCGACGAAAGTGCAACTAGGGTTGTTCAAGCGTTAGAAACAATATGGTCAATACTTGGACCTTCTTCTGAAGTTCTTCTAGATAACTCTAAGTCATTTAGATCTCAGCTTATGCAAACTATGGCTGCGAAATGGGAAATAAGGCTCATCTATCGAGCTGTTGAAAAACTATTGGGAAATGGAATAGTTGAAAGAGTTCATCGGACGGTATAAATAACAAATGCAAGAGTAAAATGTGGTATTCCCATGTCTGTATTTTTAATCAATAACGTTCCATCAAAACACGGCACACCTTTTGAAATATTTTTGCCAACATCACAAACGAGTTCGAATTCCTGGAATCGATAAAATCGAATCAACACAAAAGTCGATGACAGAGTGTCGTGAATGGAAAGTTGGCGACAAAGTGTGGATGAAACCCAAGCACATGACGCCGTGTACGCAACGATGGCTGAAAGGAAGTATAGTGGCATTGCATAATGGTTTAACAGCTGAAGTTGATGTCAACAGACATACGTTACCACGACATTTTTCTCATCTGCAACATCGTCGTGTAGACACAAAAAAAGAAGATACAACTGATGAATATGATTCAACACTGTTTAAACTTCCCAAAACGAGCTCAAAACACATTGTCAATGATGATCCAAATCTTCAAATAATTCCTCCGGATAATGGTAAAAATGACAATAGTACGGGCAGTGATCAAAACTATTCAACAGATGGTGAGACAGAGTCACAGCCTGTTCAATTCACTCGCTATGGAAGGAGAGTACTTCCTAATCGGAAGTACAACAATTACGTATGAGCTCTTGTTGAGCTAAGGGAGATGTTGTGTGTCATTAATTATTAGCGTGCTAATTATTGACAAAAGTCACAAGTTGTGATTTTCTATTATTATAACATTTTTTTATTAATTGTCGACAATCACAAGTTGTATTATATGCTATATAAAGCGAACAATTTTTTTTGTAAACAAAAAACTTTGTATATAAGTAAAAGAAAACGTCAACAACAAAAAAATGGCTTTTAAATGTGTCGAACAACACTGTCTAACAAAAATTGTGGATTTTAAGTCCAGGCTCATTGTAAGCCTTGGTCTGTGACAGAAGAGAGATCAGATTGAAGATCAGTTGCTTGTTCTAAGCAATCAAGTAATAAAGGCTTTTTGTAAAGACAAGAGTATAAAGTTGAGTCATCAGCAAATAGAGCTACTTTAGATGTATAATTTTCATGAAGATTGTTATTGTAGATAAGAAACAATACAGGAGCAAAGATAGAACCTTGTTGTACCCTTAAAGTTACTCAAAATGAAATAGAGTATTGGTCTTCAAGAATAGCTTTAATGCTGCATTTAAAAAGAATTGATTTAATAATATCAAAAACTTTATATAAAGAAAGTGATAATAGAGTGAAGACTAATCATAGAATAGTTAGGGAGGTCAAATGTTAAAAAAAACTGTTTTCTAAAGTTTTTAAAAATTGGAACGACTTATTTATCACTTTTAATAGTACAGCAAAAATTGAAGAAAACACTTTTTTAGGACTATGATACTATGTAGATACTATGTGTTTAAAAATGCTGAAATAGAAGAATTACAAGTAAAACAGCAAAAATATTGTGAACTATTACAAACACAGTCAAAATAACTTACATCTTCAATACCTTTAAAAATCTTGTATTTTAAGTAACTTGTATATTGAAGTAACTTTTTATTTTATTGACCAAAATTTTTTTTAGGAATTTCTTGAAAAAGTGATATATCTTTGTAACAAAAGTTCTAAATGTTTCAGTTTTTTTTTCCAGTTAAATTTTTTGTACCTAGTAAGATTATAAGCAGCTGAAAATATTAACAGCAAAAAAAAAAAAAAAAAAAATTGATTGAGACATTGGGCCTCAAAGTTGGTTTATAGAAACTTTTTTTTTTTTTTTTTTTTTTAATTCACCTCCTCAAGGCCAAGAAGGCCACTACAGACAAGGAGGCTACTTATTGTGTTTATAACCCTCTCTCAACTCTATAACTCCGAAACACGAACCTTGATGAACAAGGCCGCTGCGCGGAGAAACGAGTTAAGCGCGGTACTACCAGGGACATGATGGGGATCGAACTCCGAACCACTCGTTTATGAAGCGAGCGCTCTACCACTACACCACTACCGCATTTAACTAAACTAGTTTAATTAAACTAATTTAATTAAACTAGTTGTTTTATTAACTTTTAAGCATGTTCTTTTAATATTTCAGCATTTTAAGTAAGTTAATTGAATTTAGCATCAAAAAAACATTATATAACAGGCCTTGCGATGAACAAGAACTGCGCGACGCATAAGCGCGACGTGATTTTTGACGTCA